AAAAATGTTCCGGTTTTGTGTTGAGAGTTTTACAGGGAACGGACGGCCGAGTTCAGGTTTCTGTTGATGTGGAAGCGAAAAATAAATGTAAATTTGCATTTGTTTTGCATATTGTTGAGCCATTGACCCTTTGTTTTGTGCGAAAAAACACTAAGGATCGAGATAAAGTGTTTATTTCGCAGTGTTTTCGCTTATTACCGACGGTTTCCAAGTTTTTCGTTGAAGCTGCACATACACCTGAATAGACGAACTGGTTGACGCGTTGGGAAGCGGAGTTTGCGTTCATTTTTTTAATCTGTATTTCTCGAAAGCAAACAAAACGCATTCAATAAATAATATATTTCCCTTAAAATGGATGGCCTTGGGAATTTGGATTCGTTTATCGCTGGTTGCGACGCCACGAAGATAGGCGCGTTTCTTGAACTTGTGCAGCGAAGGTGACGGAATTCTTGCAGGAATATCATTTATATTTGTCTTGTTTAAGAGGGAATTATTTCTTTTTTAGGTTTTCAGAGGCTCAAGCGCAGAAACAAAAACGCCTTGAGGGTTTTGTACTCCACTGGCACAGACAGGTTGCTGATCTCGCAGAGAAAGAGAAGACGCAGCATAACGAACGAATCCGCACTTCATTGGATTCTCTAAATAGAAAACGAAGTACTGCAGCAGCAGAGTTAACACAAAGTCTAGAAACAGCGCGGGCGAAGAAGCAAGCTCTTCTTAAGTCGTTTGAAGAGCAAGATTCTGCCTGTCAGGTACAACATCCGCAGCAACAGCTCTTCTCACTATTATTGCTTCACTTTAAAGAAATAATAAACAAATTATATATATACGCATATATTGCACGGGAAACGCAGGAGATCGAGAGGGAAATGAAAGAACTCACACAGAAGTTCACCGCAAAGCAGCAGCAAATGGGTAAGAGAGATAAAAGAAGAAAATTTATATTTTAAATTAAATGCGAGAATCCCCCTTGCAGAAAAGCGGCACAAACAGACATTAAAGGCTTTCTTTGAAAGCGCAGTACAGAGGATACACCAAGTGAGCAAGGGAAGGTGATATATATATATATATATATATATATATGTATATATATATATATATAAATGAATAATAGAGGGTTGGAGTATTAACATAATAAACGAATTTGAACATCCACTAGTACAATAAACGAAAACAAAGAAAATAATATTCCTCGCATTGTTTATTCAGGAGAAAGAAGCCGCCATGCTATCACTACAAGAAACAGAGACAGAAAAAAGAAAAACAACACAACTACTACTTGAGCTTCTTATTGCATATGCGGGCCCTCACGCACTCTCTCAGCTTTCTGCTGCTTAAGACGCTTCATAAGGAATAGAAAGAGATAAATAAATAATAAATTCAATAAAGACGTCCTGCATTAATTATATACAATGAAAAACAAACAAAGGCAGAGACTGCCAGACAGAACATCAAAACAACAGATTCGTTTATATCTATCAATCGATATTTCATCCTCTTCTCACTCTTGCATGCATGCATTCAAGAGTGTATAATATGCATGCATGTATATAATTTGCATGCATATAATATGCACGCATGCATGCGTGAAGATTATTTAATAGAGCAGCGCAGCAGGCAGAGTTTGCACACGCAGTACATAGAACGAAAAAAACAAATATATATGACCAATATATATATATATATATGTTATGCATGCATATAATATATATATATATATATTGCATGCATATAATATATATATATATATATATATATATATATCAAGTTGAAGGCAGCAGCAACGCGAAACGCTACCTAACCGACCGTCTCTGTTTCCTTCTGCTACATCTTCAGCTTCATCAATGTAGCAGCAGCCCCTTTGAATGTGCTGCTCCCTCTTCACTCTAAGTACAAAGCAAAATAGCATTAACAATAGCTAGCTAGCTAGCTATTGCTATTGTCTCCCAACCCTTGAAACAAAAGAAAACGGGAGATTCCTTCTAGGTGTACGTACAGCTGCAAGGAGCTGCAGCACCCCGACGCCAGTTGACAAACAACGCATGCATGCATGCATGCATGCATGCATGCAGTAATAGCAGCAAGAGTAGCAGCAGCAGCAGTAGGTTCCCTTCTATGAAGCAGGCTGCTGCTGCAGCTCCTGCTGCAGCTTCTATTCTGCTGCAGTTTCTATTCCGCTGCAGCTTCTGCTGCTGCTGTTGAAGCTGATGCATATAAAAATGAAGTTATGTATACTAGTGGGTTTGGGCTGCTGCCTGCAGCGCCTCAGACACTTCTCTAAGGTGCCTAGACACCGCAACATGCATCAACTGCTCGGTGCTTCTTCGTGATTTCAATAATGTTCCGCCCACGTGCAGCACATGCAAACGGCAGCCTCTTCCTTGAATAGAAGTCAGTGCACTCAGCACCAGCAGCAGCTCCTGCACGCAGCTCTGCATGCATTCAGCAGCAGCAGCAGCAGAAGCAGCAGCAAGGGGGTAATGATGAACGAAACGGTGTTGAGTGCTTTGCGTTCTTTTTATTTCTTCATAACAACAACAACAACAAAACAACAAGAAGAAGACAACAGCAGCAACAGCAGCAACAGCAGCAACAGCAGAAGGCAGCGAGTGCAGCAGCGAAGAAGCCGCAGCAAGTGAATATTTGATTATGTTTTTTTTGTTCTTACGCGCGCAACTTGCAGCACATACACTCCAGATTCTCTATTTAAATACACGACGCGCAACGAAGGAAGCAAACAAGACGATCCCATCGATCCCCAGCAGACATTCACTGTCTCTGTCAGGGCCTGAGTTAGACATGCATAACACAACACCATCATCAGCTAGCTAGCCAGCTAGCTAGCTAGCTAGCTACCTAGCTAGCTGGGTGAGAGCAAGTGTATGTACGGGTAGCTAGAGGCCTCTTCTAGCTAGCTGTACGTACACTCCGTTCGTTGCAGCTAGCCAGAGAACTACAACAAACAAAACTCACGCCGTACGAAACAGCATGCATAGCTAGCTAGATAGTCATCTAACTAGCTAGCTAGCTAGCTAGATATGTGTACAGCTAACCAAGCAAACTAAACCTGTTTCTGTCTGCTTCGCTCACCTCTTGAAATGCCTGCAGACTCCACGGCTCTCCTTTCCTCTTCGCTGATGTCCACTCAGCCTCACCAACAACCCAACGGCTTTTACTCCTCACCATCCTCCTAAACCCTAAACCCTAAACCCTAGGCCCTGCCATAGATGATGTCCGATTTCTATGAGGATAAGTGCTGCAGCAGCAGATCCTGCTGCTGCTCCTGCTGCTGCTACGGATCCTTCCTATAGCGTTCCTGCTGATGCCTTCGTTGCTACAACTACTGCTGCTGCTGCTGCTGCTGCGATAGAGCAGCAGCAGCAGCTCGGATTCGTGCGGAGCCGTTGCTGCTGCTGCTGTTGTGGCTGCTGTTGCGGCTGCTGTTGCTGCTGCTGTTGCTGCTGCTGCTGCTGTTGTTGTTTGCTGCACAAGCCCACCGCTTTAGTTGTCTTTATACTGCATAAAGAAGACAACAGGCCTTCTCCCTCTTCCTGTGTTTTGCTGCTGGTATCGTTTACAAATAAGATTTGAATGCAGCGATTAGAGACCTTGCGGTAAAGAGTTTAATTTATTTTATTTATATTTGTTTTAAATGATATAATTTCTTTTATTTTTATTGCTTTTACTCATTAAATGCAGCTACAAGAGATGATATTCAGGCTGAGACGAACGCGATCTCCCCGCATGCACGGGGCCCCTCATAAGCTCTTCTTCTGTAGCTCTCAACCAAGTAACTTTTTCTGTTTTCTTCTCATTTGACCCTATATTTTCTTCTTTTATTTCTTTTTTTAAATGTATATTCAGGAGATAAAGGAAGTAAATGCATTGCAGAGGTATATACAGTATATTCTACAGGGGGTTTAGGATTGAGCTGCCTTCACCGCAGCAGACGACAGCTGCGTATACACCTGAATAAAAAAGCCGAAATGGTATGGGTATGAGTGGGTTTATTTTAAAAAGGAGTGAATGAGCAAACCAGACAGATGAACGAAGAAAGCAGAAGGCGCTGAGGTGTACGTACATACACCCGAAACGGCCTGCAAACAAACGAGAGGAAACACAAATCAAACACCGCTATGAAACCCCTAATTGAACTCGGAAGCAACGAGAGGGCCGGCTGCAGCAGTGCCAAGGCGGACTCTGCCAGCAGCAACAGCAACAGCAGCAGCAGCAGCAGCAGCAGCCGCAAACGCGCCCTCGGATGCTGCATGTTTTTTGTTTGTTTGTGCTCATTCATTTTCCCTCTTTTGTTTGTCTACGCTGCTGGAGACCCTGCAGGTTCGTCTTACTGTCTCAGTCGAAATAATATGAATAAAACAATTTACTACATTTGCATTAACTAGAAAGGCTTATTGAACGCATGCACATAGTAAAGACTCAAATGCAGTCTTGCGGCCCTTTGCGTCCCAGCCAGTTGCTGCTGCTGCTGCTGCTGCTCCAGCGTATTGGCTGCTGCACTTTTTCATAGCTGCTGCTGGTGGTGCTGCACTGCTTGCTGTTGCAGTACCCGCTGCACAGCTGCTGCTGCTGCTGCTGCTGCTACAGTTTGCAGCTTCTCTGTTTGTCGTTTTTCTGTTTTCTTTTTCAGAACATCTTCATCCTGCCTGGGCTGCATGTGCTGCTCTTGCGGAGCCTGGCGCACCTGCGGCTGTCTCTATTGAAGCTTATGCTGCTGCTGCACTGCAGCAGAAGCAGCGGCATAAGCAGCAACAGAAGAAGGAGGAAAATCAGCAGCAGAAGCAGCAGCAGCAAGTAGAGTTGTGCCTTGGCGCAGCATGGGTTGCTGCATGCGTTCGAGACGTTGTTGGGCCTTTGTTTGACTTGGGGTTTGAAGCGCAGCTGCATTTCTTTGAATTATGCGATCCTGAAGGTATCTTATTATCACACCTTTCAGCTAGATATCTAGTTAGCTAGCTAGCTAGCTAGCTATTTGTATATAGACTGGCTAGCTAGTTGTATGCAAATGAATGACTAGATGTACGCCTTGGAAGAGTACTGCTTTGCTGCAGCAACTTAATGGTTAGGGTTTAGTGCTGGGGTTTGGGGCTAGGGTTTAGGGGTTACTAGGGTTTAGGGTTTGCGGGCGTATTGTGTATTAGGAGAGCTCCCTCTGGAAGAACCAATTAGGTGCACGCGGCTGCTGGCTGAGGCTGGGCTCGACAGCCCTGGGAGTCCTCACTACGACTTTTGCAGGTGCACATACACCTCGTTTGCTTGGAGGTTTCTGTTTTTGTTGCTTGTGTAGGCCCTTTAGAACGGGCAAGAAACAGGGTTTAGGGCTTGGAAGCTAGGGTTTAGGGTTTAGGGTTTAGGGTTTGTGCGGTGCTCAGGTCCTGGATGGAGGCGAATGCCCTGAGGCCTAAGGAAAACTTCAGCACCGTCGCTCTCTTTGGGGCTGCATGCGTTTTAGTGGCGCTGCTGCTGCTGGAGGCCGTAGCGCGTCTCTCGTGCTGGCGCTCGCGGCTTCGTCGGGAAGCCAAAGCTGAACGGCTAGCTAGCTAGCTGGATAGCTATACAGCAAACCAACCCGCTAGCTAGCTAGCTAGCTAGATAGCTGTGTAGCTGGATAGCTAGGCATCTAGTCGGTCAGCTAAGGCGCTAGCCGCTAGCCAGCTAGCTAAACAGCCACCTAGCTAACTACAGAGCCTAATAGTCAGCTAGACAGCTAGATAGACAGATAGCTAGACAGATAGCTAGACAGCTAACTAGACAGCTAGCTAGGCACCCATATGTATAGAGACTCACCTAGCTAGCAGGACTGACCGGCAGTTTTATTACGATGCAGTTGATATCCTAATTTTTTGTTCTATGCCTGCTGGCTAGGTAGCTAGCGACGTCGCTAGCTAGCTGGCTAGCCAACCTCCAGAGTTCCGTCATTTAAAATGCCATTTACAATCGCGAGATAACTTCACCGCATATTCAATTTTATTTCTTTTAGAGTTTTTAAACGAGAGGAAGAATGAGGAGAACTAGTAGGTCTTCCGTCCTATGGGTACGCTGAGGGTCTTTGGTTTTGTTGATTAGGCTGAAAGCTGCAGCTCTACCTTTGCTGTTTGCGGTGCCTATGCAACGAGGAGTTTGATCTGAGGTTTTTTCTGCGATTTGTCGCCGTTAGAGAGCCCCCAATCAGCCTGAAGATCTGAAACCTAAACTGGTGGGTAGTGAGCCCATTTGCAATATCGTTGAAACTCCACGTCTTCGTTG